AATGTGGCAAAAGGTCGCAAAGTTCAAGGGGGCCGAATACTTTCGCAAGGCACTGTATGTTGTCAGGGGCTAAATGTCCCTGGTAGGTTCTCTCATGGCAAACAGGTCCTGGGTGACAGACCAGACAAAGCACGGTTCTTAGGCCACCTATGATGCCAGGACTCCACCATGGAGCCAGGCCGAGGGCAGGGGCTCGTGTGCAAGCGCCTGGTGGCCAGGCACATACCCATGGGACCTGGTCGAGCTCAGCCTGAAACCACAATGTGGAGCCACTCCTCGGTGGGCCCACCACCTGCTGGAGAGGTCATAGGGGGCTGGTGCATCGTGTTTTGGGCAGTAGCCTGGGCCGAGTCCCAGCTGACCCAAACCTCAGACACCAACTCTGGTTCTTGGGACTTGCAATGTCACCTCACTGGTGGGGAGGGAGGCTGAGCTGGTGCAGGAGGTTGAGAGATACCGTCTAGATATAGTCGGGCTCAATTCCACTCACAGCTCGGGTTCTGGAACCATTCTTCTTGACAAAGGGTGGGCCCTCCTCTATTCTGGCATTGCTCAGGGGAGAGGTGACGGGCTGGTGTGGGCTTGCTTATGGCCCCCAGCTCAGTTGTCAGGTGTTGGAGTTCACCCCGGTGGATGAGAGGTTTGTTTCCCTGTGCCTTTGGGTTGGGGAACGGTCTCTCACTGTTGTTTATGCTCATGCATCTAATAGCAGTGCAGAGTACCTGGCCTTTTTAGGGTCCCTGGGGGGCGTGTTGGATAGTGCTCCCATGGGGGACTCTGTCATTCTACTGGGGGACTTTAACGCCCACAGAATGTGGAATAGCCTCCCTGATCTGAACCCGAGTGGTGAGTTGTTACTGGATTTCTGTGCTAATCATGGTTTATCCATAACGAACACCATGTTCAAACATAGGGGTGTCCATCAGTGCACATGGCATCAGGACACCCTAGGTCGGAGGTTGATGATCGACTTTGTAGTTGTTTCCTCTGATCTTTGGCTATATGTTTTGGACACTCGGGTGAAGAGAGGGGCTGAGCTGTCAACTGATCACCACCTGGTGATGAGTTGGATTTGATGGCGGGGGAAAAAGCTGGACAGACTTGGCAGGCCCATGCGTATAGTGAGGGTTTGCTGGGAACGTCTGGTGGAAGCCCTGGTCAGAGAGGCCTTCAGCTCCCACCTCTGACAGAGCTTCAATTGTTGGGGTGGCTGCTGGGAGCTGTGGGCGTAAAGTCTCTGGGGCCTGTCACGGCTTTTGGTTGGCTTCAAAGAGATTCTGGAGAATTATCCGGCGGCTCAGGAGGGGGAAGCAGTGTTCTGCCAACCCTGTTTACAGTGGGGATGGTGTGCTGCTGACCTCAACTGAGGATGTTGTTGGCCGGTGGAAGGAGTACTTTAAAGATCTCCTCAATCCCCCCGACACGACTTTCATAAAGGAAGCCAGGGCTGGGGACTCGGGAGGGGACTTGCCCATTACTCTGGCTGAAGTTGTCGTGGTAGTTAAGGAACTCCTCTGTGGCAAGGCTCCGGGGGTGGATGGATGTTGTGGGGCTGTCTTGGCTGACACGCCTCTGCTGCATTGTGTGAAGCTCAGGGATGGTGCCCTTTTTAAGAAGGGGGACCAGAGAGTGTGTTCCAACTATAGGGGGATCACACTTCTCAGCCTCCCCAGGAAAGTCTATGCCAGGGTACTGGAGAGGAGAATCCGGCTGATAGTCGAACCTCGGATTCAGGAAGAACAATGCCAGCCATGGAACACTGGACCAGCTCTATACCCTCACTAGGGTGTTGGAGGGTTCATGGCCACTCTACATGTGTTTTGTGGATCTGTAGAAGGCATTCAACCGTTTCCTTTGTGGCATCCTGTGGGAGGTACTTCAGGACTATGGGGTGCAGGGCTCATTGTTACGGGCTGTCCGCTCCCTGTATGACCGGAGTAGGAGCTTGGTTCGCATTGCCGGCAGTAAGTCAGACCTGTTTCCAGTGCATGTTAGACTCCACCAAGGCTGCCCTTTGTCACTGATTCTGTTCATTATTTTTATGGACAGAATTTCTAGGCACAGCCAGGTAATGGAGGTTGTCTGTTTTGGTGGCTGCAGAATTTCGTCTCTGCTATTTGCGGAGGATGTGGTTCTGTTGGCTTCATCAGTTCAAGCCCTACAGTGTGCACTGAAGGGGTTTGCAGCTGAGTGTGAAGCGGCAGGGATGAGAATTAGCACCTCCAAATCTGAGGCTATGGTTCTCAGTTGGAAAAAGGTGGATTGCTCTCTCTGGGTTGGGGGCGGGTTGCTCCCTCAGGTGGAGGAGTTTAAGTATCTGACGGTCTTGTTCAAGAGTGAGGGAAAAATGGAGCCGCAGGTTGACAGACGGATCAGTGTGGTGTCCACAGTAATGCGGTCTCTGTACCGGTCCATTGTGATCCCATTTACCGGTTGATCTATGTTCCTACCCTCACCTATCGCTATGAACTTTGGATCATGACCGAAAGAATGAGATCACGGATACAAGCGGCAGAAATGAGTTTCCTCTGGAGATTGGCTGGGCGCACCCTTAGGGATAGGGTGCGGAGCTCAGTCACCCGTGTGGAGCACAGAGTAGAGCTGCTGCTCCTCCATTCTGTTGAGCGGAACCAGTTGAGGTGCCTTAGGGGAACTTGTTTAGGATGCCCCCTTTTCCTACAGATCCTCCTTTTTTTTTCTTCTTCTTTTTGCACCGTGACAGCTGATTAATTTTTCCATGGGGAGGTATTCCGGGCATGTCCCTACGGGAGAAGGCCTCGGGGCAGACCCAGGTCACTCCTGGACAGACTATGTCTCTCGGCTGGCCGAGGAACACCTTGGGGTTCCTCCTGAGGAGCTAGAGAAGGTGTGTGGGGAGAGAGAAGTCTGGGAGGCTCTGCTCAGGCTACTGCTCCCGTGACCCGGTCCCAGATGAAGTGGATGAAGATGGATGGATGGATGTTCGAGATGTTCAGCAACCAGCCAGTGACGCCACCACTGTGGGTAGTGATCAGCTCATCGCTGCTGGATTCACCACAGCACAGTACCCATTTGTTTTAACTGCTTGAGGCCAGTGTGTCTGCCACATGTGATGTGTTGCTGGTTAACTAGCGGATTAACAACCCATGATGAGTCAGAGCTACTCTACTGGTTGGAATTAATTTCACTGCTGTGGGACTGTATGTGGTCACGTGGGGGAAGACGCAGCAACCACTGGTTGGATTTACCAACCATATAGCGATGGTGGTATAGTGGTGAGCATAGCTGCCTCCCAAGCAGTTGACCTGGGTTTGATTTCTGGCCATCGCAGCATTGTGCTTTTTTTTAATTAAAGGGTGTCTTTGTGGCACATTCGGTTAGCGCTTTCAACTTTTAACTACAAGGTTGGTGGTTCGAGCCCATCCAGGGATAAGTAGGTCTTGGGTGTCCTTGGGCAAGACACTGAACCCTAAGTTGATGCTGCAAATGGCTGTTTCGGTTCTGTACCGGAAACAAATTCCTTGTGTGAGTAACTTACTTTGCCAAATGAAGTGATTATCATGAGAACTTTAAAATATTATTTTTGACTTCCACAAAAATATTTGAAATGTTCTTATATCTGCTCAAAGCTACATTTTAGCATGTATAGGCCATTTAGGAACAGTGTCTATATTGCATATAAATGCTAAATAAGTGGCTGAAATAATCTGCAATGTTGAAATTAATGCCTTTTATTTTTCACACAACACTTACAGTGCCTTGCGAAAGTATTCGGCCCCCTTGAACTTTGCGACCTTTTGCCACATTTCAGGCTTCAAACATAAAGATATAAAACTGTAATTTTTTGTGAAGAATCAACAACAAGTGGGACACAATCATGAAGTGGAACCAACTGGCCGTGCAAAATTATTCTCTGGATCTCATTCATAGTGACCCTTGGGTTCTTGGTCACCGGTCCTTCATCCCCGATTACTCTGCTTGGCTGGGCGACTAGATCTGTGAAGACTGGTGGTGGTTCCAGATCTCTTTCATTTGAGAATGATGGAGGTCATTGTGCTCTTGGTCACTTTCAATAAAGCAAAAATTTTCTTGTATCCGTCCCCAGATCTGTTTTGACACAATCCTGTCTCGCAGGTCTGTGGACAGTTTTCTCTACCTCATGGCTTTGTTTTAACTATGACAAACACCATCAGCTATGAGACCTTATAACGGATGTGTGCCTTTCCTTATTATATCCAGTGCATTAAATTAGGCACAGGTGAATTCTAATCAAGCTGTAGATGTATCTCAACAACCATTGATGGGAGCAGGATGCACCAGAGTTCATTTGCAAGTGCCATAACAAAGGGTTTGAATATTTGTGTAAATTTCAGTCTTTTATTTTTAGTAAATTTACAAAACACTCCAAAAACCTGTTTTAAAGATGAGCATGAAACATAACAAAATGTGGAACACTTGAAAGCATCTGAATACTTTCCTTACTGACTGCAAACATGTTAGGTAGTTAACTTTAGCTTTACCAGCTGCAGCATTAAAGTGGTGATCACAATAATAATCAAATCCATTTTGCACAAGTACTTTTGGCAATTCAGCAATGTTTTAATGGTAATATCTTTGTATTTTCCCAAATCCAATGGAATATGGGGAAAAGAAAGTTGTTTCTTAGTACATTTTATTGACCAAACAGTGAGGATGCAGTTGCGGTACCACCACACGGCCAATTATTGTTCTTGTCCCAGTAGTGTGACTGATCTAGTGGTTGATGTATTACTGTAGTCAAGTGGATACTCCTTTAGAGCAGATGAAAAGGAGTAGTAGAATGACAGAGTCCCCCATGGGAGCACTATCCAACACGCCCCCCAGGGACCCTAAAAAGCCTTCAGATGATTCCCCAGAGGTTTTCTAGCACTTTATGTTCTAGAATAATAAGAAATGTATGTGTGTGTGTGCGTGCGTTACTCTGTGGACAAACTTTTGTTCGATTCCATCACTGTGAGGATACTGATGTGTATGCTGGAGGGAGGGGACTACAAGCCCCACCCAATACCGGAAGAATAGCTTGGTTAGCGGCAACCCATCAGAGGGCTGCGACGTAAATAAGCTCGAGTTTTCAATGTTTAAACAATGCCTTTTTCCTGTTGAAGACGGTTTCTGGCGGAGGTGAAGTTCTGAATAAATTTGTAACAGCCACGGTTTCGCTATAACCGAGTTATGAAGAATTAGCTGTGTCATAAGGCGTTGTTGTTGTTGACACAGGATTGTATTCACGCTGGCTCAAGCTAACGTTAGATAAGCTGAGCTCCACAGCCAACTAACACGTCTCTTTTCTCGGAGCTGCCGTTTATAAGGTTAGTATCGTTACCGTCTATAAGGCTGTGAATACAGCCACATACCATGGGGTTTTGCTTTGTTTCCCTCTGTCGTGTGGACCACCGCAGACTTAACATGGCACTGGCACACTGGCCTCTCTCCCCCCTCCTCTACTTGCGTAGGTGATGTCATCTGGAGATAACAACAACAAACCTGCATTTGTTCTTCTGTTTGTGCAATGACATAAAACCCATCACTTTACAAATACTGTTCACTGATGTGGCAATACTGCATGTCCAGCTAGAAAAAAATAATTGGCACAACTGTTATATAGCATGTCATTTCACTCATTGAGCATTAGACTGTCTCAGCACTTTAAAGCATTTGAAGTCACTGCAGTTAACAGCTTGAACCTGTCTTCTGTTATCCTGCAGACTAACATGTCAAAGGAGGCAGACCACCTTGAAAGTGGAGGAGATAAGGAGTCGGACGAGGACAGGGTGCAGAATGCTCCTGAGGAGATGGTGAGGAAGAGGGTTCGGGCAAATACCCCAAGCCCACACGAAGGGAATACTCCACAAGGTGAGGAACAGGCTATTTGATTTGATTTATTCATTCAAGCATGTAAAACAGTTGATATGTCAACACATGTAATTTCACACATATCCCACAATAATAATCCATTATCAATTTGCTTATACCTAGTACATGCTTGAACGGAGTAGGAAGAAGTCAGACTTATCTTGTCCTACCCCATGACATCATTTTACAACTTTTAAATCCTAAGCAATATCTCTAGATAAATAATTATCCTCTACACCACACAAATAATATACTACAGAATTATTACAGAGTGTTAACATTCTACATAATTACATTCATAGATAATTATCTTCTACATCACACAAGTAATATACTAAAGAATTATTACAGAGATCTAAGCTTAAGTAGATGCACTAACATATTTTTTGCCATGGGGATGGGATTTGCAAAGGTCATTCAAACAAGAACTGAACTAATGACCTTGAAAAGTGATAGGTAAACAAGCAGCTCTCTAATAAAATATCACATTTCAACTGCTTGTTTTCACAGAAGTCAGCATGTTGCTATAGGAGAAAAATTTAGCATTAGCTTAACTGACTTAACAGACTTGGTAACTTGTTACTGGACAGAGGGCATCCTTTAAACACTCTGAGGGTCTTGGATGTATAAAGTCTTATGGCTGTACTCTGGCTGACCTTTATGCTACATTCTCAAGGCTCCACTCTATATTTATCATATCAACAGCAGAGGGAAACTCTTTCCATGCTGCTCTCAAATGACATTGTGGGAAACAAATCTTGGGTCAGCGCTGGAGTTAAGGTATATTTTGGACACAGAGGAAAAGAGTGACACAAGTGTTTTGCTTTAGGTTTCAATGGGATGAGCTAAGGCAAGTGCAACATCTTACATCTTTACATCTTTATTCCAAGTGCTAAAAACTTCAGTAACTGCTATTTT